ATGAAGGTGAAAGATCTTATTTTCTTTAACAGAAATGGTGCAATCCTCCAATCTCTACACTGTAAGATATAATAAATTAAAAAAAATTGCAATAAATCCCTGACAATTGCGGAAACTGGCAACATAAGAATTAAATTAATAAAGATATCAGTTTCCCAGCAGATTTAATTTTTCTATTCTTAAAACAGAGTAGGTATAACAGATTCACTGGGAAGAGACAGTCTGACACCAAACTAAGGGGTTCAAGGCAAGTCTTATATTTTACATGTGCTTTAGACAAAAGTAAAATGAGCGATGATGAAACTTATTGTGGCATTAAGAATCATTTTCTGGCTCTTCACCATATAGTCAAAACCCATTTTGGATTAAAAATGAAGCATGAGAGAAGGAGAGTGTGGTAGCAGGCTGTGCGGCTTATGCAGAGCGCTGGTCCAGACAAGTCCACGTGATGAGTAGGGCTCAGGCCCTAACCTGATTAGGACCAAGCCAAGACCCACTCAATTAATAGGACCAATTGACTCGTGTAGTCCCACACAGCTTCTGCCTTTTTCTAGGAAGTAGAGCAGCAAATGAACATTGACTCAACTGTGCATGAGGTTTAAGGAGAGTCTTCAGAGGACTCATTCTTTCCATGCTGTCGCTCCCCAATTTTCTCACATTAACAAATTCAAAACAGGGATTTTAATGAGAGCTCTGCATGAATCCACTGATTGCAGAATGAAAAGAAATAAACATAAATTTACAAAGTGCTCAGTCATTTGCCAGATTTTTATTTACAAGGTGTTTATGCATGTGTGTGTGTGTGTGTGTGTGTGTGTGTGTGTGTGTGTGTGTGTGTGTGTATATATCCATACATGTTCTTTTTCTCATGCTGTTCTGAGAGGTGTTGGCTACAACATTCGTCATGAGAAGGGGTCTATAAATAATAACCTTTCTCCAAGTGTATGAATCAGAAGCTGTGATGTCTAACTGCAGCGTGATGCAGCACTTGGTATGTGTGTATGAATCTATGTGCGTGTGTGTTTGATATTGTATATTCATTACTGCACTAATGTGTGAAAGGTTTCAGGGCTGGACCGATTGAATACTAACTAACATGATTATCATTGATTCATTGTCAGTTATTCTTTTTCAATTAAGCGATTACTCATTTAGACTATAAAAATGTGAGTCAAAACCTAAGACAACGTCTTCACATTGAATTTTCTGTTTGACTGACAGCCTGAAAAAAGGGATATTCAATTTACACAAGTTTTGCATTTGTGCTTGATAAATGACTTAAACAATTAATTGATTATTAAAATAGTGAGGTGATTCATTTTCTGTGTAACGACTAATTGATAAATTGAATAATCATTACATTCCAAGGGCAGGTACTAAGCTTATTAAGTGAATCGGGTATCTGCTATGACGTGATCCATCCGCATTAACGGGAAATAAAAGACCTTACAGGCATGTCAAATTCACTGTGCAGTCATTTTATTGATTTTGTCCTGCCTGTTGCCAAATAGGGTTGGATGTGCACACTTTCCACTTTCTTTACTTAGCTGCTTGAGAAAGTGCAAGTGCAGAAAGCAGTGCAGAAAGTGCTGTTACAGTCCGGTGGACATGAGTCACAGAT